TTTTTTTAAAATGCTAAAACCTTGTCGGGGCGAGATGCAAATCATAGGTGTGTTTGTTGATTAAGTTTGAATTGTCTAGTTAGACTTCAAAATGTTTTCTATAATTAATATTCAATTTGCTGTATTATTTCTGTTCAGCAATAGCTTTGATGTTTAGTTTAGATTATTCGTATTCTTATTATATCATACATTGTATTTGACCTATGACATTATTACCGCGATCAGTGATTGGTTTAAAACCGATCTATCACAACTTGAGTTTTGTGTCATGTGACACTTGAGGTCCTCGTGCCATGTTATCGTTTATTATTTTTACGTTTGTTGTTGTTTCAAGCCGATGTTGATGTTTCCTTTTTCAAAGTTCAATAAATGTCAATCCTGACATGAGACTTTCCGACTTCGTGAATTGTTCCGACCTATAGAGTACAGTGGCTATACTTCGAGCCAAATCACAGCCACAAACCTGCATGGAAATGATTTGAGAACATCAAATCTATAGATGGTCATCGGTAACATAATTTTGTGACAGGAATTTCCTGAAGGTAAAATATTCTCTGTGATTAAAAATACTTTAAATTCCAAACTAGTTTAAGAATTATGAACTTTAATTGTATGCATTTTACCCATTTCCCAATCTAAAATGGCTGTCAGGGAAACCACAAAGTCGTTGTTTCTATGTTTGAATACCCCCAAAATAGAAACTTTTGAATTTTTGTAACCACAAGAAAAAACTTAACAATGGGGACAAGGACAAGACAGACATTTTTCATATACCATTCCCTTCTTTCAAATTACATTTCAAATAAGAACAATATTGTAAAGGACAACTTGCTAGACATAAGTAACTTTCATTGCATCCAGAGTTATGGCACACACCAAGCTATATAGTAAAAGCTGGCAAAAAAAGACATGTTTTCCTGAAAGTGGTTCGTATATAACAACTGGGGAATGAAATAATGATTAATAGTAGAAATGAAAAACACACTAAATGGCAAAAAGGGAATATTTCCTTGTTTATAGAATCTCAAATCTTTGAACATTTCCCCTTCCTATTTTGGGAATACTTTGTTCCTTGAACAATAAACCATAAATAAATCAAAACACGCAAACATGACAAACAAAAATCCAGGCTCATCAATATTAGTACATGAATCCCACTGCAGTTCATTTGAATTAGTGCGTTTTGACATGTTTCTATTTACAATTAGTTAAATAATAACCGATCGCTGTGCAATAACACAACATCTGCCTTTCACAAACTTATTCTCATTAAATGAGAGATAATGAAAGACACTAAATAAATATTTGCCATTATTGTGCAGTTATAGGCAATTATACCTTGGTAGCGTGACACTGTCATTGATGTCTTTTGTGTTTGCCATAAAAATAATACTTTTACCATTTTATAATCAACGCAGAAAACATGGCTTTCTGTGTTGGCACTTTCCAACAAAATAAATAGAGAATACAAATGATGGTTATGAGCAACAAATTAAATATATACATTATAATGGAAAGAATACGCCGTAATTGCAGCTGTCTGGTTGAAATGAACATACAACATTCACAACCACACTCCTTATGGCTTTATATTTATATTCTTTGAAAATGCAGGTAGTTAATTTCATGCAAATGACGTCAAGAACATAGTAAAATGCCATAACAAAACACTTCAACAACTCAATGTTGATTTAAAACAGGAACCAAAACTTGTGATCAGTACACATGTTTCTATATGTGAATTAATGGATGGGCGAGTTTGAGTAATTTAAGTCTAATTATCTCAAATATTTTATCTACTAGTATTTTTAATATCACAGGTAATTAATCAAATAAGATAAAACAAACTAAATAACAAAATTTGAAATATTAGTACAATCAATTAGTCTTATTATACAGCAGTGATATTTGGTGAGACAAGAGTTCTTACAAATCAGACATAAAAGTGTTTATTTATACTTTTTAGGATTCATCTCCTAGGTGTGAGGAAAAACAAGTAGAAGACGAAAACCATATTATGTACTAACATGCCCTTTTTTAACAGCAATCAAATAAAGGAATTATGTGAGGAAGCCGGAAAGCAAATAAATGATTTCATAAATTTGACAGAGGAGAATATATTTATAATGATAATGGGAAATAAAAACATTGTAATGGAAATTGCATTGACTAAATTTATATAACAAAAAACTTGATCATTTGATAGCAACACCTCTTGTTGGCATAGCATAACCATCAATTATTGAATATTGCCTTAAAATAAGACTGCAGCACCGCATAGTAAAAGTATCATTACAGATATATTCAGAAAGTGACAGTAATTTGTGTCCTCTTTTTGTCTTTTATTTTTTTTATTGTCGAATGTCTTGTAGTTTTTCCAAAGTCAGTGTTGTGTTAATAAATAAATTACCATATGTTATGTTTGAAACATCCACAGCGTCAGTTAAAAATAAAAAAATAATACTGAATGAGTTGACTCACCCTGTTTCATTTCACTGGTGTTGTTTCCTTGATCACAATAATATACAATGTATAACCAGCAAAAAGACCTGTGACAGTGAATAAAATAATACTAAAATAGTTTCTTTCTTGTTTATGATGAAATATCCTATCCTTCAATGCTGCTATACCTCGATTTGTACGGTAACTGTGTGAAGATGTACACATGGTGCCAAGATAACACAAGAACCCCAAGGACTCGCCTCGGAACGAGTACCGACAATCTGACTTTGTTGGATCAGATTACAACTTGATCGTTGTGCAGTTACAAAGCTCTAATTGCGGGTGGATATTAAATATTAAAATTAATGTCATTTTTAATTTTATACCGAGGTTTAAATTTGCCATTGACGAAGTGAAAGTGACAAAAATGACACTGTGCATAGTTAATAACAATAATGTATACTTGTATGAGTTTTTATCGACTGTCGGTCGACTCAGGCCGTCTTGTTCGGCACCCCATCCGATGGCAAGTTCGTGCTTCGTTCTATGAATGGGAACTTCGTTAGATATTTTTACAATGTAAAAATACACTTACCGATTCACTTACAATATCTTCATTTTACATCACCAGAATTGTTATATAAATTTGTGACGTGGTGATGGGGAAGTGTGTGTTTATACCAGCTGGATCTCCGCCTCCCCGGAAGAACCCTTTGTTATTCCTCCCTCATCCCAAAGTGCGCCACCAGCGTACCTAGATTTTCGATGATCCCGATATTGTTATGCAAATTTTGCCTTTTTGGAATTGCTTACGACCAATCAAATTGCGGAATTGTTAAACTGTGCAATGGGCAACGAAAATTGAAATCCGAAAGCAAAATAGCATGTTGCTGGCTATGTTGTGATTGTTTTTCTCGCCGTCAATAACTTGCAATCGTTCAATTCCACCAAAAATGAAGGAGATTTCGCAGATAGATGATCTTGAATCCTTGAAGTATGTGATCTACCGCGAGCTGAAATCGCTTGGGGTCAAAGTACCGAAGGAAAAACGATCAAGCTCGCAGGTAAGCTTGAAACTTCAGTTTGTCTACCAGAATCTAATTTATTTATCTTTTTCCAGCTTTATAAACACTGGTCATCTACTTTCTGTATGTATGTTTTTAGGAACCAACGAGTTTTAACGGAGTGTTTGGAAATAAACTCGGATATGTCGCGTCCATTGTTGTCGACCATGAAACAGGATGCACAGTGCCAAAGTAAGTTACTTTAGATTATGCCAATTTTATTTCAAAATGACGATATACATTTTTACTTCATAAACTATGAAACTTTTGAGATATGAAATAAATTGAACCCTGGGTTCTTGCATTTTTCGTTGGCCGGCTTTTTGCAGTTTGCTTGTTCATCCATCCATTAATACTGTCAGTATACTAATCAAGAGTAAATAAAATAAGGGTATCCAACCTTCATAGCAATGTATAATTGATGAAGATCTCATTTCTTGGGAGTTGTCCACACATGTGTTAATCAAATCTCTGCTGACCAGCAGCATGATCATGTAACATCATTGACATTAATACTGTGGAATGGTCTTTGTCGTAGAAACACAAGGTTAAAGCATACATACTGCACAATTCAAATTTTTTGTAAACAAAACAGTATATACAATATTGTTATGAATCACATAACAAGCATGCCATGAAAAGACAACTGTAGTGCTTTAAAATACTAAATCTGTGATTCTAAGCAAGGAAAAACTCTCAAATACACTAGGATATTCTGGGTAAAACTAGACACAAACTAACTCTTCATGCACATACCCACACAGCCACTTGCAGCAAATAAAAACAAATATTTAAAAGTAATGATCATTATTATTATAATATTCATACCATCTTTTTCTCCAAAATCACAAAATTGCCACCATCTGAATTGAACTCTGTTGTATCAGATTTCTAGTAGAAGCAGTGACTTTTCTTGAGAAGTACTTAAAGTCAGAAGGTTTGTTCCGAAAATCTGGATCACACGCCAGGCAGAAAGACCTCAAAGTAAGTCACATAATCTATTTATTCACATTACAATGTCATTTATCTATTTCCCAAATTGATGCAGATATGTTTTTTCATGCTAAGTTTAAGCAGTGTCTAAAAATGATTTACCCCTGTGCATCTGACTTCCAGACTAGTGTTTGTCCATCCCTCAGACATACCTGATCAGATTGCATGCAAACTTCACACTTA